GATTTACATGTTTAAAGAAACTGAATTGTAAGTGAAATATTGACACTCTTCCTTCGTAAATTCCACATGGAGCATATCCTGTCTTTGTCAGAGCAGAAGAAAGGAGAGATTAATAAATACGATTAATCAGACATGACGTTGAAGCCAGAGTTCCTCAGGCTTTTCCTTGATCAGAGTCTAAACCGTGAATCACACAACCTCCTCTGTGTTACACTACTGCTATATTTCATTGAAAAGCTTTTTCTTTTCTTTAAGTAAAACATTGAAATTGCAAACATGTTTTTCAGTGCATTTTATCACAGGAAACCATTTGTTCTTTAAAAACTTGGTTGCAGGTACTGGTAGTGATTCTGCATAGAAGGAATGGGGAATTTAGAGGCTTCAGTCTGTGATCTGGGGTGCGATTCTTAAACATTTGTCACATCAGCTGATTTGTAGGGCAGCTTGGACCTATTCATCAGGCCCTGCTGTCACTGGCCAATGAATTTATGTTCCTCATCCACATACTCTGTCCCAGACCACATCAACGGGGCTAGGCCTGTCAGTCTCACAACCTTCATGTCTATCACATCTGCTATTGGTGTTGTTGTTTTTTTTGTTGTTTGTTGTTTTTCTAGAGTTACTGCCCTAACTGTGTATGATATGTCATTTTTTGACAAAAACACAATATTTGCAACGTTTGTTTAATAGCTTATTCAGTTTCCCAAAATTTGCGGTCAGATTTCAAAATGTTTTTAAAGATGTCCCTTACGCTCATCACAGCTGCATTTATTTGATCAGAAATACAGTAATATTATGAAATATTATCACAATTTAAAATAATGTGTTCTATTTGAATACTTTTTAATTTATTCCTGTGATGACAACGCTGAATTTTCAGCAGCCATTAATGTAACTTTTTATCAATTTAACGCATCCTTGCTGAATAAAATAATTTTTATTCAAAAGTATTCAAAAAATTCTTACTGACCCCAAGCTTTTGAACAGTAGTAAATATTTTTCATTTATTATTTGATAGTCTTTTTTATTTCAGTTATGGTTGCTATGATTACTTAAATAATCTTTTGATGTAGTAATCAAAATAATGATCAAAGTGTGTTTTGATAAAAGAAAATATATAATCTTCTTAATTAAGCTGAAATGTTATTATTATTCAACAGAATTTAGATTCAATTCTAGTCATACAATAACTGGTTTATTGTCAGAATTACAAAAGATGATGTTGTGTTCAGTGAACAATAATTCGTATCCTTAATTGAACGCTTGTGTCTGTGGCCAAATGATTAAAAATTAGTTTGTGAATATAGGTACTATATGTATCAGTGGCGTAACGAGCCAACACCGGGCCCTTATGCAGGATTATCAAGGCGGGCCCCCTACTACAACAGGTGATGACGCAATGTCCACGAGTAGGCTTTTGCATGCAATACGCAAGGAACTGTTTACACCTGGCCACTTCATGCTTTTTCTGTGATCGTATAGCTATCCGATCGTGAAAAGACCAGGTGTAAATTCCCTTCGAAACGCATTCGAGACGGATTTGAATCCGGTCGCTCAAACCACTTCAGGAGGTGGTCTGGGCCGCATTCCAGACGACACGGGACAAGTGTAAATACATCTGGTTGTTGAAACCACATATGTCAATTTTACTCCTCTAAAAATGGTAAAAAAAATAAACGTGTGAGAGCGTGTTATAGGCTATATGTCATAGTCAGATATGACGACGCTTCTGCAACAACACGCATCACCGCAGATGAGCATCTCTTCATCAAGCCAACGCACAAACTATCGCAAATCAAAGTGAAAGTAAGTCGCAGACGCTCGCTTAACACACAATCATCTTCATTAAAAGTAAAGAAACGAAATGATCTTACCAGTACACTGTTGCCGCTCTCTCTAATTGCGGTCTTCAATTTAGAAATTTTAGCTGATGATCAATAAAATGCAGCTTATCTGTTGCTTTCGGTGACGTGAACTCTATTAAATCTGCATATAGCGCGGAAATTGAAGATCGGATTTATATCTGTTTTGCAAAAACACATTTATGTGACCAGCTGTAAATGGAATCGTTTTGATAAATCAGTAGCTATCCGATCTGAGAAAACGCATGAAGTGGCGCGCGCGTGTAACGTTAAACAGCCGACCCGGGGATTCCCCAGTCCCAGCTCAAAACAAATTACACCAAAATCCATGATTGTTCGTTTCACACATGTATTTAATGATCTGTAAAATATGTTGTTGTCATTATTTATTTAAAACAAAATCGTGATAAAGTAAAATGCGATCAAACTAAAAGTAGTAATATGCGATAGGGGGCCCCGGCTGTCAATCAATATCTTCCAGTCAAGCGGGCCCCTGATTGGTCCGGGCCCGTAAGCAACCGCGTACCCTGCTTACCGATAGTTACGCCACTGATATGTATTAATCTTCCAATTCTGTACCAGAATTCATTTAAGGTTTGAAATGTACAATCTGTTTTTCTGCTCTGGGTCAATTGGGGTAATAACATTGAACACTTTCATTGGAGCTCACAAATTCTCAATTAATACACGATCGTATGATGAATGCCCTAACATCCCCAGTTCAAACCATTGGACCGCAATCCGAGACACAATATTGGATTGCCCCTTTGGCTTTATGAGGCAGGACCTCATTAGTGACCAGTCTAACATGACCTTTATGTTGAAGTGTCGGTGATGCACACTTCTATGGCGGTTCTCTAATCAACAGGGATTAATAGAGAGCAGCTTTGGATATTACTGCTGTGGTCCAGTGCTGCTGATGGAGATGTCAGCTATTCTAATGAGCACCGCTACACTGTCTTTCCTCCTCTAACAGAGACCATACGTGGAATAGGATATAATCTACATCGATTTTTCAATGGCCACCTTCAACATTGGTCACTCTATCCCCAAGTGTTAAGAGGAGAGAGCGTATTGATCGGGATAAGGCAGCTGCTTTTGGTCAGGGAGCCACTGCAGGAGAATCCAGTGGAAGGCCTGGCCCTCTTTGTCACATTAAGCCACTCAGTATTGTCTATATCAGGGTATGTAAGTGTTATAATGTGGTTGGAGGAAGAAATCAATGATAGTATATGTGTGCAGGTGGTAAATCTCTTCTACTTTAAATGTACACAGAGGGGGACCAATGGTTCAGTAACATGAAGACTAAAAAGAATATTTCAGCCAAATATTACCCTCATCTCCCACATGTTGTTCTTAAACCCATATGTATTTTCTGTGGGACACAAAATTAGATGCTTTTGAAGAATCATTACATTGCTCTTGCCAAATGACTGTTTACAGCGGCCAAGAACTACTGAGCTACAAAGAAAGAAAGAAAGAAAGAAAGAAAGAAAGAAAGAAAGAAAGAAAGAAAGAAAGAAAGAAAGAAAGAAAGAAAGAAAGAAAGAAAGAAAGAAAGAAAGGCTTGTGTGCTATAATCTACTAAAATAAATATAAGTGAATGGCAATTTACATCTTGTTCCTCATATACATCTGCAATAGAAGACATGGTTGTGTAAAATTGGAAATTTAATTGGATTTTTAATTTAATATTAATTTTAATATAAATAATTACATAAAAGCTAAGTATACGTTTATATGCACCTTATTCGTCAACTTGGAAGTCAGCTTTTTTGTGAATGTGCAAGACTTCTGATTCATTATTCGCTATACTGTAGGTAAATAACTAGAAGAGTATAAGTGCAGTAAACAGTAAAACCTCTTACAATAATACATTGAAATAATATAATAACAAATTCCAGTTTGCAACCTCAAGCAGCATAGCGGGCTGTTTTAAATTGCAATTCTGCATCCTGTTTGCTTGCACATTTTTATTTCTGGAATCAGAATTTAAAAATCAATTCTGAATATGACACATGAAATATGACACATACATTGTATAAACTACTGTTATTGTGATTTTAATGTCATCTTTGTTGCTTGAAAGCCCCTGGTTATGAACTTTCCTTGTATGGCGAGAATTGTGTAAAAATTGTTCAGAAATGTAAATTTTTGTGTTCCATGAAAACCAGTATATGGGTTTGGAATGACATGAATTCCAGTAGATGAATTTTTTTGTTAAAGTAGATGTGATCCTTCTGCCTCACTAAACACTTGTGCCTGAGTGAAACAGTATTTGCTCAGCACAGCATCTCAGACCAAATCTCCCTGTGAACATTCCTGGACGAAACAAACAATGGAAACACATTTTGATCCAACAAGACAGAGTATAGATAATTAATTTGATGTGAGGAAGCATCCCAATCTGTCTCTTCTTCCACTGACAGCAGCGATGGGGATCAAATTATTGCACAAACAAAGCTGAATCTTTTGTCCCCAGAGCCTTTAGATGTTATGCAACTTTTGTAATTGCATTCCGCTGCTGTTTGTGCCTGAAACAAAACAAGATTTATGACAATTGCAGCCGATCAAACATGTATACAAGACGGAAATGAATGGCCGTCTCCTCAAAGTTCATGGCTGATTGTCATTTGTGCTATGGCTCAGAGGTGTGCTGAATGTTAATGAAAAAGTTGATCTGAGAAACAGCGGCTCAGCGGTGCAGGGCAGACACAGACACATGAAAAATGCATGGAGCTCTGTGTGTACCTTCAACTTCACTCATCTGAATTCCACTCCCATTCCAACTGGCCAACAAGCAAGAATATCAATTACATTAGCAATTTGGGTGGTAGCGAGCGAGCGAGTAACCGTTGAGCAGCTCTCGTGAGACAAACCACTCCGAATGCACACAATGGCCATTCTGAGCTCCGTGCTTAGCAGTCACCTCAGGAAAACGTCCAACTTATTGCGTTAATGGAGACTGAAGTGTTTTCGCCAAAGAATATGTTCATTAACATCGTGATTCATGTGGAGAATCAAACATCTCAGTGGGGGTTCCCTCTGTTCACCTCAAATGAGTGCCAGTGTCTAGCTGCAAACCTGTTACTAGTAGCTTACAGCAAAATTAACAAATCCGGTCTGTGTGTGTTTCAGGAAAACCCATATATGTGTAATAATGAATGTGATGCTGAAACCGAGGAGCTGGCCCACCCGCCCGAGCTCATGTTTGACTCTGAAGGACGAAACCCCACTACATTCTGGCAGTCGACCTCCTGGAAAAAATATCCGAAGCCCCTTCAGGTCAACATCACGCTGTCCTGGAACAAAACAATAGAACTCACAGATGACATTGTCCTTACCTTCGAGTCTGGCCGACCTGAGCAATTAGTCTTGGAGAAGTCGCTGGATTACGGTCGTACGTGGCAGCCGTACCAGTTTTATGCAGCTGACTGTTTGGATGCCTTTACTATGGAGCCAAAAGCTGTACATCAGCTGACCCAAAGCAGTATGCTAGAAATCATCTGCACTGAGGTCTATTCAACAGGCTACGTGTGGAAGTACGACAAAACTGTACGCTTTGAGATCAAAGACCGCTTCGCCCTTCTTGCTGGTCCGAGACTGCACAACATGGCTTCGCTGTATGGGCAGCTGGACACCACCAAGAACCTAAGGGATTTCTTCACCCTCACTGACCTTCGCATCAGACTTCTACGGCCTGCCACCGGAGCCACAATGGTAGATGAGAACAACCTCTCTAGATACTTCTACGCCATCTCGGACATCAAAGTGCAGGGCAGGTAAGGTAATGCCTCTTTGAGACCGGGTCTTAATTTAACATCTATCATTTGGTATAATTTTTGCTCAATACTAAAAGAAATTAATAAAATAATTTTTTTTTTTTTTTTACTATAAAAATAACATGCAAATAAAATGTACAAATTACTACTAATTGTCAATCGTATTTGACAATATTGGTCCTGACAGAAATGCAATTCTGAGAAAAAAGACAGAATTGCGAATTTATTTTTGCAAATATATTGCGAGTATATTGTTTTTATCTCGCAATTCTGACATCTTTTCTCAGAATTGTGAGATATAAACTCGCAATTGCGAGTTATAAAGTCAAATTCTAAGGAAAACATTTTATTCTAAGGACCTCAGAATTGCAAAATTAAAAATGTAATTCTTTTTTCCTCAGAATTGCGAGTTTATATCTCACAATTTTGACTTTATAAAACGCAATTGCGACTTTATATCATGCAATTGTGACTTTATATCATGCAATTGTGACTTTATAACATGCAATTGTGAGATAGAAAGTCAGAATTGCATGATACAAAGTCGCAATTGAGTGTTATAAAGTCAGAATTATGAGATATAAACATGCAATTCTGAGAAAAAAAGACTTTATTACACACAATTGCGACTTTATATCACACAATTGCAACTTTATATCATGGAATTCTGCCTTTATCACTCGCAATTGCAACTTTATATCAAGCAATTGTGAGATAAAAAATCTGAATTGTGAGATAAAAAGTCGCAATTACCTTTTTAATTTTGTATTCTGTGGCGGAAACAAGCTTCCATAAGTTGTTTAACACCAACGACTTTTATTCTTTTAACACAAATGATTACGGGGGCAGATTATCAATTAATATTTTTATTTTTTCGCGAGGTTCCATGCACAATACTATGTAATGACCTTGAAGCGATAATTCACCCAAAAATGAAAATTTGCCCATGATTTACTCACCCTGAAGCCATACTAGGTGTATATGACATTCTTCTTTCAGACGAATACAATCGGAGATCTATTAAAAAATGTCCTGGCTAATCCAAGCTTTATAATGGGAGTCAATGGGTATGTATTTTTTGGAAGTCCATCAAAGCGCATCCATCCATGATAAAAGTGCTTGAAATGGCTCTGGTGGGTTAATAAAGGTCTTCTGAAGTGAAGCGATGCGTTCGTGTAGGAAACATATCGGTAACACTTTATAATAACTGCATGCTATTAATCATTTGTTAAGCATGAGTAAACAGTTAATTCATCATTTATGTAAGCAATAAGGTACGAGAGGCTGTGCTGTATCGTGAATAAGTAACGGCTGGAGGGCGTTGTTAGGCACGACGCGAAGCGGAGTGCCTGCAACCCCTTCAGCCGTTACTTATTCACGATACAGCACTTGCCTCGAGTACCTTATTGCTTTTATAAAACGGTTGCCACACAATAAAAATATTAAAGCCGAAAAATATGTATCTATGCAACTTTCATGAAGTAAAATCACTAAAAGCCTGCCTTCCGCTGAAAAAATAGTCCCGGAACGTGAACAGCAACAGAAGTTACATATATTATTTCGCCAATAGATGGCGGCAAAGACTGTCTTTATGAGTGAGTGAGTGAGTGAGTGAGTGAGTGAGTCTGTAGAGAAGGCTTTTGAAAGGACTCGAACTTGTGATCACGGAGAAGACAGACGCAACTGACAGATGACTAACGTTATGCACGGAAAACCCCATGACTGTTAAAAGGACAAAATATGCAGCGGACATTCAAACGCATTTTTTTATTATGAATATAGGACTGACCTGAAGGAAAATGCTACGTCTACTGTAAATGCAGGTACACTCGCTTACTCGATCTCTCACAATGCTCTGCTCTAGCTTTAAATGAACAATATCAATGAGATGAAACATCTGTTTAAGTTGCTAAGAGTGGTTGCTAGGGGTGTTGTGTAGTGATACATAGAACCGTTGGGTGAAGCGGTCATAGCCGTGTTTTATCGTGAATAAAGCACAGCTATTGACCAATCAGAATCAAGGATTGGAACTAACCGTTTTATAAAAAGCATTAATAGACATTAATAAGCAGTTTATAAATACAGCTATAAACACTTTTTTTCTTGATTTATAAGCATATCTATAATGCGTTTAATAATTGTATTTTCATACTTTGTTAATGATCAATTAATAATTTCTAAATGAAGTATAGCATTATTTATAAACCAGTTATTTAAGAGTTGTCAGTTATTCATAAGATCACTTAGAAAGTGTAAGTAAATGTAGTAAATACAGGTAGTTATAAAGCATTTAGTAGTGGTCAGTTAACTATTTTGTGAGCTAATCTAAAGTGAGGACTATTCATGCCTTGTAAAGCATTTATAAAGGAGATTTAAAGGCGCATCAATCTTCTAAACAGTAAAATGTAACAAACACAACACAGTGATACAGAACATAGAAATATTTAACAGCCTTTAAATCTCCTTTATAAATGCTTTACAAGGCATGAATAGTCCTCACTTTAGATGAGCTCACAAACATAGTTAACTGACCACTACTAAATGCTTTATAACTACCCGAATTAACCCTGAATTACAGCTTAAATACATAATAAAGCATTTATTAACACACTAAGTAACCATCACTATATGTCTTAATAATAAGATGTATGAATGTACATTTAAATAGTTTATTAATCATTTACTTACACGTTCTAAGTAATCTTGTGAACCACTGAAAACTCTTAAATAACTGGTTTATAAAAAATGCAATTAATCATTTAGAAATAATAAATTGATCATTAATAAAGGATGAAAATACAATTATTAAATAAATTATAGATATGCTTGTAAATCAAGAAGAAAGCATTTATAGCTGTATTTATAAACTGCTTATTAATGTCTATTAATGCTTTATGAATGATGAATTAACTGTTTACTCATGCTTAACTAATGATTATTAGCGTGTAGTTATTATAAAGTGTTACCAAAATATCCATATTTAAAACTTTATCGACTAAAATAACTAGCTTACTGCAGATGCCCGTACGCAAGTCGACTTACACCAAAAGAGTATCACTTGACGATGTATATGACGTAGGATGTAGGAGTAGCGTAAGCTCTGACTCAGGGCTTTCAAACAGGGCTGGGCAACCACGTTCATCATTACGTTGTGCGTCAAGTTCAAGGGTTACTCTTTTGCTTACTCTATCGCAGCTTTTCTTGGTCAAGGATCGCCCAAGAGGACGTTTGACTGACATGGAACGCAACCAATCACAGTTCATTTTGTTCCACGTCATGTTTAGGGGCGTGAAAATATAATGTCGATGTCTCTGCAATAACAGACCGGCGTTCATATATAAATAATTAATTCAAGAAAGTTGTGCAAGTTTACTGCAACAATGGTGCCGCGAAACTTCACATACTTTTGAAAATCCAGCGTTTAGTTGATCCAGATAAGTGCTGATTGTCACAGTTTTAAACACGATGGCGTTCTTCTTCCACGCGGGATTTTGGCGTCACCGTCACGTCATTTGTTTCCAGGCGGACCGTTAAAGAACACGACACACACGTCTCTCGGACATCCTGTAGAATTCAGCCAATCAGTTCACGACTTCGAAACTCCTGAAGTGTTTCCAGAAAAGTGTGCCATATGCATCAGCCAGCGGTCTGTGGGCGTGACGTCTGAGGCTGAGACTAGGGTTGCATAAACTACAGCGGAAACTCATTAACACAATAAATAAACACAATAAAGACACAAACACAATTTCCTAGACACAAACTTGATTTGTTCACCTCCAGTGGCCAAGAAATTAACTGTTACTTTAGAGACAAGATTTATAAACCCAGCACAGAATATGGCGCCTCCAGTGGCCAAGAAACAAACTGCATAATAACAATGCCAAAATGGTCACTATGGTTACTTCAGGGCCAAGATTTATAAAATGAACCCTGCACATGATATGCCAAACTTGGTTTTATAAGTCTAAAAGCTCTGCTGTTTACGCACACTTTCAGGATAAAATAATGCCAAGTTCCCTATCGGTCAGTCACTACAACGTAGGTCAGACTGACCAATAGGAATCTCGCTAGAGAGGCCAATCTACTTCGAGTGAAACTAAAACAAGCCAATGCACATTGGCATGCAATCATTTGCATCAGCTGCGCGTCCTCGTCAGCGCGGGTATTTAACAGCAGCTGTTATGATTGCACACTAGCTTTTTGCTTCGGAGCCAAACGCTTCATGGTAATTCTACAGAGTGTGAAAACTTGGCAAGCCTTCGTTGGATCTCTCCTTATCTGGTGCGGGCGTTACAGCACGGCAGCGCGAGCAGTCTTGTGTCCTCTCTCTTCTGTCTCTGTCTTTTTTTTTTTTTCTTTTTTTTTTTAGCAAATTCAAAAAAGCTGTTTTAACAGCTGGTAAGGTGCGCAGTTCAGCGCTCAAAGGATGTTCTCACAGCCGGTAAGACCTGCCAGCGAGAGAGAGAGACAGCGCACAGACGGGTGCACATTCCCGTCTGTGTTCGCAGTGACTGTTCCCCTGCGTGCTTCAGCACCAGTGAGAGTAGTCCCTAAAAGAGCTTACACAGATAGAGAGCGTCTTTAAAAAAAAAAAAAAAAAAAGAGATGACTTTCTATCTGTGTGTTTCTGGATGTGGTCGTTACCTGGGCTCACAGGATGGTCACAAACACTGCCTCGTGTGTCTGGGCATTGAACACGCTGAGGCAGCGTTTGTGGATGAGTCATGTACCCATTGTGGGAAGATGACCATCGCGGAGCTACGGTCGAGACTCCTGTTCCTGCAAAGGGGCGGAGTCCCCGTGCCTCTGCCTCGTTCCAATCCTCCTCAGAGGGTTGCTTCGGGCGGGGGCGCGGGTGACCTGAGGATCACGGTGAGCACGTCTCCTTCGGGGAACCAACCCCCTAGGAGCCCTCACCCCTCTCATGCTCCGCAGCCAGTTGAGCTTCCATTGGAGAAAGCTGGACCATCCTCGAGGTGTGTACCGGTTGTCTCCTTTGG